TTCCTCTGTTTAATTTTGATCTGACCATGATACAAGAAATCCATGGAATACCAGATCACCATCGGTCGATGGTTGTTCCCTCAATTTTTGCAATCAAGTACCACCATGTAAGTAACGATAAAAGATTTTTCACAGATGGGTCAACCATAAATGCTTCCACTGGATTTAGTGTATTTAATCAATTTCATAGCGCCTCTTTTAAACTGCAGAAACCATGCTCAGTATACGTTGCGGAACTCGCAGCTATATTTTACGCAGTAGAGCGAATTGCCTCACTACCTTCTGACCATTATTTCATTTTTACGGATAGTCTTAGCTCATTGGAGGCTATTCGTTCAATGAGGCCGATGAAGCACTCCTCGTATTTCCTGCCTGAAATACGATCTAAACTGAGTGCTTTATCTAACTGCTCCTATACTATCACCTTAGCTTGGGTCCCATCTCATTGCTCAATTCCGGGTAATGAGAAAGCGGACTCGTTGGCTAAGGTGGGCGCTATGGAAGGCGATATTTTTGAGCGACAAATCGCCTTCAACGAATTTTTCTCCATTGCTCGTCAGCAAGTCCTCATCAGTTGGCAACACAAATCGAATGATGGTGAATTGGGAAGATGGTTACATTCTATTCTCCCACAGGTGTCGAACAAACCATGGTTCAAAGGGTTGCACATGAGCCTCGACTTTATACGCGTTATATCAAGGCTTATGTCCAATCACTGCTCGTTAGACTCGCACTTCTATCGAATTGGGCTCTCAGACAGCAATTTATGTGCGTGTGGCAGTGGCTATCACGATATCGAGCATGTTGTTTGGTCGTGTACCCTACACCGTGTTGCCAGATCTGATTTATCCACATCCCTCAGGGCCCGAGGAAAACAACCCGCGATACCCGTTAGAGATGTCTTGGCGAGCCGAGATCTCGACTATTTGAATTTAATTTATGTGTTTTTAAAACGGATAGATCTGAGTATTTAGTAGTTAGTGTCATCTTGTGTTCTCTCAAGTTGTTAGCTACCCATCGGTGTACCCCCATGTTTGTCTTTTTCATCAGAGTGTTGCTTAGTTCGAGATAAAGAGCACATTGCTCTCCAAACCTTGTGTTCACAATCCCTACCCTGCCATCCATTTGTTACAATTTGTCACCCCTAACCTCGAGATAGCCTCGAGTAATCAGCCCCCGCTTTACTAAGGTTAGTTTTAAGTAATTTTGTAATCTAATCAATGAATATTGGCTCCGCAAAGCTACAGCAAATGAGCCTGGAAAAATAAACGCATTATAAAAAAAATGTATTAAATGATGTATATTAAAGTATTAGTGATTCTTTGCGTTAGTCATTACAAAGTATTTTCAACTTCTTTATGACAAGCTGTGTTGCTTGGGTTGGTATCCATGACAGATACGTATTTCGACTACAATGTGCAGTCTTCATCTGTGTCATTCCCACTAAAGAACTTATCAAAATCTAACCCCCTTAAGTACTCATCCCCTAGGTATAAAAGTCAAGATCACAGGTATAAAAATGAAACTACAATGTGTTGAATCGGAACCTACCTAACTAATAAAATCCAAAGATTTAAGTAAACTAAAGGAGAAAAATCTATTCAACTCTCGAATAAGGAAAATCCCATCATAATGAAGTAATGAAATTGGGTTGTTAGCGGAATGCTTAAATAAAACAGCAAAAAAGGTTATCTTCCATTTAATTCCACTTAATTCATTTTGGTATCCATGACAGATTGCAAACCCAAATAAATCTATCTGCGTAAAAAAAATACGGGTGATTTGCGGCAAAACCCGCCAGTATCGCACCCAACGTCAGTGCCTATACGTAAGGGTACTACGACGCGACTCTCAATCAAAGGAGTAACAAGTGTGCTACTATCACTGCTAGACTAGATCTTTGGTTCTCTCATGCAGTGGTTTATCAGAGAGGGGAAGCTTAGTAATCCCCATTGCCTGCCCATGACGTCATTTTATCGCGGCATGAGCCAGCAACGCCGGCCATAAACCTACACTTAAAGATAAATTAAATAAAAAAGCTTAAAAAGTATGCAGATTACCGCTTCACCTTATTGAGTCCGAGCCATGATTACTTCGGCAGTAGTCATGCATGATTAAATTCGAAATAATTTTTCCAGTATTAAATTTTATTCTTTTTCAATACGGATATATAATCAAAAAAGATTAAAATTCAATAAAAAATTATTAAAAAAGAATCAAAAACGATTAAAATTTATTCAAAAAAAGATAATCTAAACTGGGATTAACATCAGATGCTTTATTTTTAGAAAGAGAGGATTAATGTTTAATGATTCGATATGATTAAACTGAGTTTAATGTCAAATTGATTAAATTTCAAGCAAAATGGGAATAGTTGAATTTATCAGTGTACCGTCTCCAACACTCCACTATAAAGCATGAAATTAAGCCCGCCCACGAACAGCAAGGTGCAAAAACTAGCCAAGGGGAGGGAATAACTGTTAAATACATTATAAAATACATATAAATACATTCTAAAATGATATTTTAATGTGGGCTTGTTTTTAAAGCAAAAAGTGTATGATTTCAGCATTTTTTTCAACTTTCAAGTTGAATATCCCTGAAACTACAAATCGTAGACCCCTTTAAATTTTGGGAACTTCTTAATAAAAGTGTTTGGCAAATCAAAGTTGGCACTTGTGGAGAATAGAAGAACTATGAAAGTGATGATGGTTTCAAAATTTTCCAGATTTTTAAGGAACCAGATTTAAATAAAATGCTCAATTTGCAAAATAATACCATTTTAAGATTGCACTCGTATACCACACCGTGTAAAATTTTGAAACCATCATCACTCTCATAGTTCTTCTATTCTCCACGAGTGCCAACTTTGATTTGCCAATAGAGTATTCCAGAATCTGAGTAAGAAGAAGTAGATTTTCTTATTTTTGTCCGCCTGATTTCCTCTAGTGCCTCCGCTGGCACTGCCTGGTTGGTGTATTTGGCTGAATTAGTATCTCCCTGTCACCTTTGATTGGCTTGCGCAGTTCTTCTATATTACTTTCTTGCATATGCATTCACAATTGCTTCACGTTTATTGAAAAAAAAAGAAAACAGTAATGAGCACTGTGGAAAAACATTTGAACATGGAAATTTTTGATGCTTCATTTTTGCCGTCAAGGAAATGGTTGAAAAAATAATGTACAGTTTTTGCAATTTGTATGCTCTGAGAAATGGGAAGTTTTTTTTTTATGGAGCCAGTTACTTTGGAAATGAATTTACTACGCGGTGTAAAATACAAAATAACCATGCTGACATGATTTCCATACAGAATATCAACGGGTATTTGCTTTGAACACAGCTCCCCAGCAGACGGTCGTGGATGGACCAGTTTATCACCATTTGAAAGCTATTTAATGTAATTTTAGATGCATTTGACTTCGTCTGCACCTATCTGTATTTTTAACCCTTCGGCTAAAAATCTATATAATGAATTATGTCGCGGACAACGCGATAGTCCGAGATACCACTGAACAAGCGACACAGAACAAGCAGAAACCTAAACCTATTGTACCCACACGCCGCACATAATTGTACTTCGTTCTACACTCCACACAGCAGGAAAAAACAAACAGCTACATCACGTAGGAATATCGTCCTGACTCGATCACTCTCGATCGAGTCGGTTGGTATAAAAGTACCGGCACCAAACTTTACCTACATTCAGTACAAATCGAACCATTATACGAATAACACCCGTTCAATATACAATTAATTTCTAACGCCGCGAGTTCATCTCTTTTTCTCCTGACCGAAGCCAACCACAAGCCAATCAATCAGTCTTTTTAAAGACTAAAGAGTTTAAACTATCTGTGGCTAAGCCCCTGAACCAGTGACCATTTCCGGATAGTTCGCTCAGCCTTTGCCAGGCGTTGGAGCTCATCGAAGAGGATCCCAGTGCGTGGACATCACCTATCTTTATCAATGAAAGTTTGAAAGTTTTACAGCCACGTAAAGAACAGTATCTGCAAAGAAAAAATCAAATAACGGTGCAGCTTTATGAAAATTTGGAGTAAGAGTTGATCAACCAAGATCTGGATGAGCAGGTATATATATATATATATTTGTGAATCCTCGTTGACAAACGTTACCTGTTGTGCTCGTCAACCGTACATAAAGTACTTGCTCATGCTGGAGAAATTACAATTCATTCTCCAGCTTTTCTTGGAATATTTGCAGAAGAAGCAGCACAAAGTCAGCATAAACAGCTGAAAAAATAAACGTTCCAGAGTCGAAAACTTACATGATGTCTTCATTCGGACAATATTGAGAAAACAATAAAAAAAAAGATTGAAATAAAATTTATACCGTTTCTCCCAGTTTTTTTTTTATTATAGTCACTTAAACACTCTTGGGTCATTCGTGACTTGTCCGGGGTGAGATTTGAACTAGTAACTTTGGCGTGAGAGGTACGAATGTTAACCACTACGCCGGAGACGTACCCGCAAAAGTTAATTTAAGCCCCCCATTTTCACTCATTCTGTAACCTATCTTATAACTGAAATAAACTAGGAAGAACGAATATAACCATTAATTGAAATGAAGCCTATGTTTTTCACAATATGTTTTCCGTCAGTAAATGTTGCAGAAAAGACTTGAAAATATTATCATTAAAGATCAATTAAAAACTAAACCCTTATCAAAAGTTGTTCGTGAATCATTAAAATGTGTTCCTCGTCCCTTAGTTAATAATTACAAACATTCAACATGTTACATTGAAGCAAAAATGAAGAAAATATTTTTGTCCGCTTGCTTGTATGGAAATTTCCCATAGTGCATCTGTTCCAAAAATGTTTAGTGTTGTATAGTGTTTCGCCCTTTCAAAATATTGATGATACACAATCGCACTTCAGCAATCTCAGTGTTGACACTATCTTATTATTAAAAGAGTTTGCTTTCCCTATAAGACAAGCATGGAAAATATATGTATGCTTTCGTATAATAAGGTTTCGATCACTTACCTCATAAAAAAACAATTTTTGTTTTTATATCCAGGCATTTTAAGCAAAAGGGTTTTATTACTATGAAATTATTTTTGTTTTATGAATAACTCTACACAGCAGTTGTTTTTAAAGGCACAACAAAAATTGGCGCTGACAGAGGTTGTCAGTATAAGGATTTCTAAAGTGTGATTGTGTCAGTGATTTGTTTTCATCAGCATTGCAAACTATAGTCGCTATATTCATAGTCTGGCGGATAGAATCTCGGGAACCAATTGAGTTGTCAAATAGCGGAACCAATCGAGCAAATCACGACCAACAACAGAAAAGAACACATCAGCTATTTCGAACAAAACTTCGGAAACCGTTTTCTCGTGATTCAAGGCTCGCCTAACACTATCTTTGGGTTGGGGAAAGATTCCCCTATCCGATGATGCCGGTAATTTGCGTTCGATTGTCGAGGAAAGAATAATCAACGTTTGGTTTATAAAAATTGATAGGACCTTTTCAATTGTTGGTCTACAATATATGGAATTGGTTCCGCTTTTTTTATAGATCGAAATTCTATCCGCCAGACTATGAATATAGCGACTATATTGCAAACTAGCGGGTGCATTGCCATGTAAAGTTGTTTATTATTTCCCTCTGACTTATACATTTTATTCATATATGAAATTGGACCTGTCAATATGAGTTTGACAGCGATTTTTTTAATGTATTTTCCTCGAATTTTTGTTATGTATTTCGCTCTCACATATCGCACCAATTCAACCGGAAGTGAAATATGTTATTGAAGATTTTTTTCAGATTAAAGAATTTTGCGTATATGTATACAGTGCTACAAAATCTCGACATACACGGCGATATTCAAAATTCTGCTTTGTTCATTAATTTTTTGCTAGCAGTCATCGTCAAGGAAAACCATGTCAATTGTCAGTGACGTGTACTATGTAAAAAACAACAACAATATGCACGGAAAAACGAGTCTATGTATTTATGATTTCTAATTTTAAACCACTTTTAGAACTGGTAAGAGCTGTCATATAAGGGATAAAATGTATAGCAGAAAAGTGCATAAAATTTAGAAATTTCCAGAAAAAAACCAATTTTCAATAGAAGTGTTTAAATTTTTTCCCTAGCTGCTGATAAGAAAAATCAACAATTTCTGAAAACACAGTGGCTATAATTGATAATTTTATTCGCAAGTAGATAGGTTGTTTGTAGTATTAGTAGAGACAATATAGAGATTTTCACGTCCGGTGGTATTGGTACGATATGTGAGAGCACGTTAATGAAAATCCGAGAAAAACACATAACATAAAAAAACCACTGCCCAACTCATTTTGACGGATTAGATCTAATTTTCATTCATTTTTTAGGTTAGTCAGAGGAAAATACATACACACAACAGCACTGAGACAAATTGAGTTTCTCTTACGCCCGCTTCCTCCCGTTGGGGTGAAACAGCCATATTGTCTCAACGCAAGGCGAAAGATATATTTGAAGATATAACGAAAAAGATTGATAGACTTTCGCGCGGTATTGACACAATTGTTTTTTCACAAAGTCACTGACAGTCTTGATCCTAAAAAAAACCTTTGTCAAAATCTCATTAATTTTTTCGTCGATGTAAAGATTCACCTGATAATAAAAAGTGTAATTTCACATAATTGAGGGTTCTTGGTGAAATACATTCATAATTTTAAACTAGCACACCTTATACATTAATCTTGTGAGAGTCTTGAACTCGCTATACCTGCGAATACGGATCCTTGGTTATAGAGGGCTGATTGGATGGGGGAGAGAGAAGAAGACTGCGGGTGAGAAAAGGAGTTGGAAATTATCTGGGAAAGAAGGATTAGTTTTGTCTGCGGGATCGAGAAGTTGGATAAAGCTAAACCCTATAGTATACAAGCAGGTCAGAACGTAGATTCTTGTTCCCTTTAACGGATCCATGTTATTTTAAATCAATTTATTTAATTTCGTTTCAAATCCAGCTTCTAAAAAAAATATGCAAATTCTCATCACTGACAATTGACATGATTTGCCTTGACGATGACTGTTCCCAAGTAACCAAAAGTTATGATAAAAGGCTATTTATGGCTTAAGCAGCTTGGTTGAAGGTGGTCTATAGAATCCTAAGCAGCCTCATTTATAAGTCGTTATAAGAACTTGAAAGTTCCGGTACCATAATTGAAGAGCATTCTAAGCAGCCTCTGGCGGAACTTTAACGGAACTTTTAGAAAATAAATTAAAAAAAGGTTTTTATCTTTTTTTTTATGTTGTTTTTGTGCTAACGTAAGAACTCCACGACACACATAACACGCGACGCGAGACAAGACACAACACTTATCGTTCTTACAACATTTAAAACGGATTAAAAATTACCTTTCTGTCTACCGGTTTCGGGCGCGATGCTGCCCATCTACGGGACAATTTTATCCTCTACACCAAATTCTATATTTAGTTCACCCTTTTATGAAAGTTATTTCTAAAGGCAGGTATTAAGGTGTATTGGTTTATCAGTATTAGTGTAGTAGAATTGGAGCTGTTTGAAGAATTAAACTCAGTCTTCTGCGTGAGAGCTCCAGCACGAATCGCTACGTCATCTGAGCTATATAAAAGTGAGCTGTTGTCCCACCTACTGTTGGAGTTTTCAGTGCCAGCTGACTGACTTGAATACGAAAACACAACACCTTGATGAATTTTAAATTGGTGTTCTCCCGCATGGTATTCCATCACACTTGTGGCGCAGTGGTTAGCAATCGTAGATCGCATGCCGAAAACACGGGTTCGAATCCAGGAAATTACTTTTTAATTTTGTTTTTATGTTTGGATAGAATGTTGCATAAATATAAGAATTATTATTTATTCGGGCCACTGATCATTTCATATTTACGTACATTAAATTTTGTTACTAATAAAGACTTGTGCGGATTGCTTCATGTGGCTTGTCGGAACTTTATTTAAACTTTATGGAACTTGAAAATTCTGTCAGAACTTTATTCGAACTTTATGGAACTTGAAAGTTCTGTCGGAACTTTATTTGAACTTTATGGAACTTGAAAGTTCTGTAGGGACTTTATTCGAACTTGATGGAACTTGAAAGTTCTGTCGGAACTTTATTTGAACTTTATGGAACTTGGAAGTGATTTTAATCGTTAAATGCGGAACTTTTGGTAACTTGGGTTGGCTCAAATGAAGAACTGATGCAGAATTTCGTCGTCGTCAGAAAATCGTCGTGTATTGTCGAAATTTTGCAGCACTGCCCACAACTTTACATGGCGATGCTCCTGCTAGATTACTCTAATCTCTACATCATCAACGCTCTTCTCGGTTCTATCATAAAATCAAGTGCTTAATACGTCAGTCACCTGGTCGAGAGAGTGAGAATAAGCAGAGAGTTGAGGAGACGAGTCAGTCGGTGAAGGTAGCGCGTGTAAAAAGGTGGAAATATATATATATTGGATTATGTACAAATCAGTGTCTTAATATTCGATCCGTAAGTCAGAATCCTACATTGGCGACGCAGGATAAAAACAACGTTATATTAAATAAAAGTTAGAACGTGGATTCGAGATAAAATTGTGCATTTTTGTTTTGAATTTTACTGCAGTTAACTACGTATATGGTGGCGTCGATTTGAGGTTAAAAATGCAGCTAATCAGTGGGGCCCCGTATCCGCTTTTGCTAACGGCTTCAGGTAAGAAGTATGGAAGAGAAGAGAAAGGTGCCAGTGAGAATGAAAGAAGCAAATGATCGTAATATCGGCCTCTCTTTCATTGCGTTTGTGCAACCACAGCATTTTTCTCCGAAGTAGTGACTGCTTGACGAAGTGGAACGCGGAAACAGATACGAGGGGTAAAGCTAGAAATTTCAGAGAAAACAGTATTTATGTGATGGGGTAGTAGTGGTGCTACACCGGTAATGCTGATTTTCTGCAAGAAAAATTAATTTCGACGGGATTTGTTCCAATGGTTGTGTACCAAGAGCATGACAGAGTGTTAGTTCAGGTTGTGTACCTACACTAGAGATGGTTGTGTACCAAAATGAGAGGATACGGTTACGTACCAAAATGAGGGTATACGCGTATTCTTTGTTATTTACTAGTGATTGTGATGATGTTGATTGTGTACCACAAGACCGGACTATTATTGCATGATGAGTGCCTGCAAGGGTAGCCTGTGTAAATTAAAAACATGCGATGGTATATGAATACTGTAAATATTTCAGACGCTGACATGGGGGAGCTGGATGTAATAAAAACAGAAACAAGTTTTTTTTTTATTTATTCAAGAGAAAAGTGAATCAGAGAATCATAAAGTTGAGAGTCATGGTTGTGTACTACATACGGAAAATTAATCAGAAAATTTAGAGGGAGTAATGGTTGAGTACCAAATACGGGAAATGGTTGTGGATCAAAGTCGGAAAGTGTTTACTCTTTCCAAAGGAGATGTGAGGGGATTGAAACCAGCTATTTATGAACCATGAGTAAATATTAAAACAAGCACCAGATACTATTTGCACGTAAGTACGTCTATTTTCAACCATGAAATTTGAATTGTTCTGCAGAATCAGACATTTTTTTAGTTGTCTTTTATTTCCCCTAGCTGATGAATAAACATTTAATCCTAAGGTTAATACTATATTATGACTATATTCTCGTTCCCACTAGTAGTACCACATTTTAAGCACTATTGGGTGATCCAAGGAGAAAAATGCTGGGTGAAATATAAAGTGATATTGTGCGTACAATATTTCTGATCGCAAGGGATAATCTTATTATTATTTTTTGTATACAGGATGAACATACCCAGTCATATCAAGCCGTTCGATGTATCAATTGAAGCTAGCCGCTTAACAGCGGAATGGGAGGTTTGGAAACTTGATTTAGAATCGGTTTTTGCCGCCCATCGTATTGAATCTCAGCGCGACAAGCGAGCCCACTTGGCATATTTAGGAGGTCCAGGGTTACAACAACTGCCCCGTCATCTACCGGGAGTCGACCAAGTACCGCACGTTTCTGTGGATCCTCCTTTCTATGATGTGGCGATTAAATGTCTCGATCGGTATTTCGAACCTTTCCGTCGCAGAGCTCCATTTGTTCCACCAATCGTACAAGGTAAAAACGAACGTTTTGCCGATTTCGTAA